CCCACGAAGGTGCCGTGTTTGGCCTCCTCGGGGACCGAGTAGTGGATCTGGCTGCTCCCTGCTTCCCCGGCTGTGAGGAGAAGCCAGAGCAGCCTGTATCCCAGTCCTCCTTCCCAGATAAACACCAATGCAGATAATGAGGGCCTCTGAGGTGGAACTGTCAGCTTTAAAGGAACGCTGGCAAGTGGTCCTTTATGAGCAGTCTCCCCTCTGTGAGTATATATTCAGTAGGTTTTATACAACACTCTGGTAAATATGAAGGTGATCCTATTTTGTGAATAGCTGTAATCTGGGTCTGGAGACAAAAATTTTCCTTTTTCACCTTTTCAGTGGATAGGGATGTCATGTGACTGATCATGTAAATAAATAAAAAAAGACCCCAAGGTTCTTTTTGGATTAGCCTCTTCTTGGGTCACTCTAAATTCTGTTTGACTTTTGGATTTTTTGCGCAACATTTATGCATGCTTATTTAGCTAAAATATATAAACACCAAGGCAGTTCTTATTTTATACTTTAAAAATATTTTCTGCTTCAAAGTTTACCATTAAATAATCTTTGAAATAAGGTATGATAGAAGTTACTGTAGTTATCATGGAAATAATATCAAGCATAGTATACATCACCCCTGCTCTTAAATGGCTTCAAATTCACATTGTTTTAATAGCTTTTGTTCTGCACAAGTACATTGCTATAAGACTTTAGGACAAATAAAAGATTCTCACCATCTAGTAAAGGTAGCTCAATGAAAATTAATGATTACTTCTACTTGAGTAACAACAAGAGTCATTCCCATAACTAATTTCTTTTAACATTTTCCAATCACACATTACAATGATTATTGATCAGTTAAACAAACCTAAGTATGCATATGATTAAAGACTGGATAGGGGTATCATTTTGCATTTTACTGACATTGTTATTCAAAATAGTTAAAATACAGAATTTTTACAAGTTATCCATTCAGTGAGACCCTTTCTCAAAAAAATTTTTCTTTTAAGGAGCTTAGGGTGTAGCTCAGTGGGAAGGCCCTGGGATAAATCCCCAGTAGTGCTGCACAAAGACACACACATACACACACACACACACTAAAAAAAAAATCTTGCTATAAATAATTTCACATAGACTTCCAAAACGGGTGGAATCTGTAGAAAACTCACCTGCCCAGGGTGATTTGATCCTGGCTCCTGCTTTTCCCTCTCATCTTCTCTATCCAGGCCAGGAGGTAAACTGGGGCTGAAGGCCATGAGGTCTGTCTTGGGCGGGCCCTCCCCAGAGCACACCCTCTGCCCTCTCCACTGAGAGTAGCACCAGCTCCCCACCGCGCTCGAGCACACCAGCTCGGGCTTTCCAGGCCCGCACATGCCCTCCGTGGGCACCGCCGAGCAGCGCAGCACCGTGTACAGCAGCAGCGTGAGCACCAACAGGCTGGACACCACGCAGATGGCGATGATCAGGTACACATTGACGTCCACTAGCGTCACTTCCGGGCCTGAGTCCCCTGCTAACGCCCGCAACGAGGCCTTTGGAGTCTGACCGCTCTCCACCAATGACACCAGAAAGGTGACAGTGGCTGTCAGAGAAGGCTCTCCGTGGTCCTTCACCAGCACTAGCAGGCGCTGGCGCGGAGCGTCAGTCTCTTCCAGAGCACGCGTTGTGCTGATCTCGCCAGTGTACAGCCCCACGCGGAACGGGCTGCGCACGCCACTTGCAGAATCCTGCAGCTCAAAAGACAGCCACGCGTTGTAACCAGAGTCCGCGTCCACTGCACGCACCTTCGCCACCAC